TACATATCTTTCTCATTGGAATATATATATATATATATATATATATATATATATATATATATATATATAATCATTCACCCCAAGAAAGGTAAATGATGTCACAAAGAATATCTGGAAAAAAGGGACAATTTTTTAAAATATTATCTTTGGGGTTCACTTACTTTTATATATCATTTCACCTCATGCAAGGTGATGATGCCACTAAAATTCAAGGTATCAATGGTAATTGAAGAAAATGAAAAGACTTTAGTGAAGAGAAAGGCCCATAAAAGAAGCCAATTCAGGAAGACAGAAGAAGGTCCTAACAGTTTGATATTTGGATTTCTTGTTCCTTGCAGGAAAAATTGCTCTCCATGAAATATCTACCCAAGGGAAGAACTTTTTGGACTGGGAAACCTAACTTTTATTTCCGCAAAATACCAATATTTTGCACTCTCTTTTCAACTACAAATAATTACTGTTGAACAGTTATTTTGAGCCCTGAGTTTTTTCCTTCAATTACATACACTGCTGAGCACACACACACATGTGCAACTGGGAAAAATTCCTACACTAAGGATAGCAGACAGAAACAAACTTACGTAAAATAATTCCTGTAAATAAAAAATCATTAGAAACAAAGAAATCAGTACTTGACTATGACATGATATCTATCCTCTTATATGGCAGTGAATGCTGGACAATCTCCTCAAAGATGAAGAAACTTGAAGCAACAGAAATCTGGTTCTACAGAAAGATGCTGAGGATACCATGGACTGAACATGTGAGCAACTACAAGGTTTTGGAAAAAAAGGAAACATACTTAACAACAGAAACAATTAGTTGAAGTTTCTGGAGCACATAATGAGGAAAGAGGGCTTGGAAAACCTAATACTGACAGGACAGATAGAGTGAAAGAGAGAGGGCAGCATATATCATACTTGATGAGCCTGAGCAAATGGATGATAGAACAGATTTTGCAAGAAATAGCAAAAAGACAAAACTTATTAGGAGCTACAAAGGAAAGGAAGATGTGGAGGACCATGATTGACTACATCCTGAAGGGACACAGCACATAAAAGAAAAAGAAAAATTCTTGAGAGAAACGAGTGAATGCATAAATCCAGTTCCATATTTTGGCGTTTTATTAAGATTCTAAAATTAACTTTAAAAAATAAAAAAAAATTGCAGGGTAGTCGGCACCAGCTCGCATCCAAGGATCACAAATATTTTATTCATTTTCATAAATACAATGGTGGTGGTGGTGGTGGTGACAAAAAATGGCTGTGAATAATATAATGGGGGGTTTGAAGTGTC